GTGCCCACTGCACCTTCAGCACCGCTCAGAARGCCGTGGGCAAGGACAACTTCACCCTGATCCCCGAGGGCACCAACGGCATCGAGGAGAGGATGTGCATGGTGTGGGAGAAGTGTGTGGTACGTGCTGCAGAGGGTGGGGACACACACTCCAGGCTGTCACAGCCTCGTTAATTCAGAGCAGCCGCAGGGCTGACAGTGTCTAGACACTGCTGCAGCTTCAGAGAGCTGCTGACGAGAGGCTGAGACACACAAATGCCTTCACAGTGCCTTCAAAGGCTGCTGTGTGGGGAACATCCTCCCCTCTTGCTCACAGTCACCAGGAAAATCTCTCCAATGCTTTTTTCCCAAGGTGATGAGGTGTTCCCGTGCCCTGGTGCTCCCCAGAGCCTGGGGAGGTGGATGGGGAGAGGGTGGGACATGGCCATGGCTCCCTCTGCCTGGTCACCCTGAGCCCCCCAATTTGGGCAGGTCCCCATTACCTCAGTGTCTGCTGGGCAGATCAGGGCTCTGATCCGAGCCTGTGTGGGATCAGTCCCTGTCCCTGCACCCCCGTGCACATTTCCCTGCTGGCAGCATCCCTGGAGGTGTTATCCTACATCCCATGGAGCAGATATCTGTGTGGGCTGCAGGGGATTGGGAGCTGTGTGACCCTGAAACCTCTCTTAGGTGGGCTTTGTTCAGAGAGATACAGAACTCTGTGTAAGATGACAAATGGAGATGATAAATGGTTCTGGTTTGGTTCAGTTCCAGTCTTTCTTCATTGAACTGTCCTTATCCCTCTTCAGTGACTGTGAGATACCTGTACAGAAGTTCAAACCAACCAGTGAAGGTCCTGTTTTTCAGAGATTTCAAACTTTTGAGTCCCAGGAAAAGAAAACCTGTSTCTTGTGTCCTTTAGCCCAGAGGGRCAAGGCTCAGCCCCCATCCCCGTTCCCCTGTAAGCGCAGCCCTGTGGCAGTGCAGACCCTCACCCCACACGGGACAGCACAGATCCAGCCATGGGGAGGGACCGTGTCCCCATCTGTGCTCCTTCCTCCCCTGCCCTGCCCTCCCAGGTCCCCGGGAAGATGGATGAGAACGATTTTGTAGCAGTGACCAGCACCAACGCTGCCAAGATCTTCAACTGCTACCCCAGGAAGGGGCGCGTGGCCGTGGGCACCGACGCAGACCTGGTGGTGTGGANCGGGAAGATGGATGAGAACGATTTTGTAGCAGTGACCAGCACCAACGCTGCCAAGATCTTCAACTGCTACCCCAGGAAGGGGCGCGTGGCCGTGGGCACCGACGCAGACCTGGTGGTGTGGAACCCCAAAGCTACCAAAACCATCTCGGCAAAAACCCATAACCTGGTGAAATATGGTTTTTGTTATATTCTGGAGCTATTTTATCATATTCTGGAGCTATTTTATTATATTCTGGTTTTAGAGTCAGAAGAGAGCTGGAAAGCAATGCATGTCCTTAGCAAGTGGGGAGGAGTGTGTGGGTAAAGTGATAAAGGACCTTGCATTTGCTTTTAAAAATACAAAGAATATATCCTTTTGCTGCTGTAAAGGGTGGGAYTGGTACTGATCTGGTATGGAAATCTTAAGGTCAATGTATTTGCTGTGGATTAGAAAAATATAAGTGTTGAACTTAAATATTGAACTTATGCTAAACTTCAGTGTGTATTAGTTATGGTTTAATATGTATTAAACTATTGCTATAATTTAACATATAATCTTATTAATATATGATAAGCATATWAATAATACAATRTAATAATATAAATGTAAATAWAATAAATAATAARARTATTAAACTATTGCTGTAGTTTAATACGAGTAGGTTTAGGGTTTAGTTTCTCCTTTGCAGTTTGTTTCCCATTGGAATATTTTTATTTAAAATAKGAGGGGTTAATTAGGTGCATGAGGAACGTGTAGAAAAATGGGGGCTTTGTTGGGCTCCTCTTCAATCCTGCAGGCACTGAATGTCGGGGTTTGCTTTTTTCAGAACGTGGAGTACAACATCTTTGAAGGCACCGAGTGCCACGGGGTCCCAACTGTGGTCATAAGTCAGGGAAGAGTTGTCCTAGAAGATGGGAATCTGTGTGTCACCCAGGGCTCAGGTCGCTTCATCCCTAGGAAGACRTTCCCTGACTTTGTTTATAAAAGGATAAAGGCAAGAAACAGGGTAAGGAGAGCTCTATTTACCATAATCCTGTGTTTTGATCACAATCTCTCTGTGTTAGTGTTTTGGGGCCACTGTGATKGCAAACCTGCAACAGCCACAGGAATATTATTAATGCTATTTCTTTCTGTGTGTTGTCATGTAACTGCCTGGCACCTCAAAAAATAATTCCTAGTGTAGTATTAGAGCTAATAATGACAGTTTTATTAGCCTATTAGCATGTTACAAAGCAAAAATGTGACTTCTAGCAAAGTTTTTATTGTTTGTATGGAGGTAGAGGGAGGAATTCCCCTTCTGCCTGTGCTCAAGAAGTTTTTGTTGTGCATTCCCAGTGTCTGCTCTGCAGCCATTGGAGGGTGAGGGATGTCTGTTCTGTACTGGAAATACGGGAATATAAATCCTCCTGTGAGCTGGCACAGCTTCTTAAAGAGACACAAAGACATGCAAATATGTAAAGAGCTTCTCAACAGCTCTGTCCTCCTTCCCTTTCCCCTGGGCTGTTGCAGACACTGTAATTCTGCATCCTGCACACAGGCAGAGCAGCAATCAGTAACCCAAATTCACTGCAGAGGCAGGAGCCAGTGCTCTGCTGTCCCTC